AAATGTGCTTCGCGCCACAACGGCGTGCACTTTTTCAACATCTCAACTTCCAAAAGGGGTCCGAGCCTGCGGTGTTTTGTACATTTTGACTTGGAAATGTGCTTCGCGCCACAACGGCGTGCACTTTTTCAACATCTCAACTTCCAAAAGTGGTCCGAACCTGGTGTGTTTTGTACATTTTGACTTCGAAATGTGCTTCGCGCCACAACGGCGTGCACTTTTTCATCTCTCATCTGGCCAACTGGCTCCGCGCCCGCCGCTTTAGCGAGCCTACTTTTCGACCCTCCGGAGCACCAAATCATTGGAAAAACACAGTGAGTCGCGACTTTCCTACCTTTTCGCGCATCTGCATCTACTCTTTTTACTCTATTTCCTCTACTTTTTCTTCTCTAATCTTTCTCTTCTCTCTGCCTCTTCCCTGCTCTGCTTTTCATCTGTCCATATTGTCGGAAGTTTGACTTCTAATTCTAAACTTCCTTCGATCAACATGAAGACAAACATAAGATATAACACTTGGCGTCTTAAACCTAAGGATGTCCAATTTGACTTTTTGTGGTGATCAACCACTTTCCTGTGTTTTTAAGTTTGTCGTTCAATTTTGCGAATTTATACATAATTTTACCCGCTAGATCACGCTAGCAATGCGCTAGCAAGAGTTGCAAAAGGCAGCTTTGGCTGACCCGTGACCCAGTCGCCGTCAGAGAACTTGAGTTTATCCTTTCTTTTTGACAAAAGCAACAGTGCCAGCAAAGGCAACGACAAGCCTTGCAGCAGATGAAAAAGTTTTGAATTTCCACGACTAATAATTAGCAGCTGCACCCACTCCATATAGATGTGTGTTAGCATGTCCTGCAGGTTTTAGCTTCGGTTTCAAACATAGAAAATAAAATGCAGGGATTCAGACTAAGATAAGTCATATTTTTTAAATTCAAATCACGAAAGCTAGCTGTGCTAGCTGAAGTTGCTCTTGCTTTAGCAAGGAATAGGCAGGCACCAGGACCATTGGAAACCCTGAAACTTTCCAGTTAGACCCCCCCGGTTTTTGTTTTGACTTGAATCCTACGTGGGTACTGCGTGAGTATTGAGCACACTTTATATACGCTGGTCAAGGCTCAAGAGAGATATAGAGTAATCCTGTGGACACCACACCGACTGGCAGACGCCGTGAGTAAAAGGGTGTGAAGCTGTCTTTGGAAGACGCTCTGGCTGATCTATACTAGACGCTAGTGCCCCTCTTCAAGTGGTAGCGGAGCTGTGATCCTTCATTGAAGGTGAGCTCCAGGTAGAGCCCAATATGGCACGCCATGGCTGTGATGACGATGACTTCGACATTGTCGATGCAGATGGATGGAATCAAGATGACTCTTATGCAATGAAAAGGGCACCTCAGAAGCCCTCAATCCATATGACGCAACAGATGACCACAAAGGTAGCCCCTGCATATGATGGGAGAACCAGCTTCTTTGCATTTGAAGATGCTATTGATGACTGGTGTGACATCACGGAGCTAGAATCTGAGAAACGTGGACCAGCTTCGCGAAACAGACTGGAAGGAGAGGTTCAGCAATACAAGAGGTTATTAGACAGAGAAACGCTCAGGGATCCCAACGACGGAGCCAACTACTTCAAAAGATTTCTACGACCTCATTTCATCAAGGGTGCCCAAAACGTGTTCTTATACCGTTTCATGGAGTTCATGAAGTTCAACAGAGGAACTATGGAATTTCAAACATGTATGATTAGATTTCAACTGACTTGAAACAGACTTATTGAGTCTTGGATGGATTTACTACCAGACCTGTTGATTACTAGCCCAGAAGCAATCCTGTATGTTCAACAACAACGACAAGAACATGAAGCACGTCAAGCTGAACTCGCACAACTTGCAGCAGCTGTACCAGGACAAGAACCACATGTCAATGTACCTTGGACAGATGATCATGCCTTGGTAGCATTCAGACAACTCAATGAAAACAGACGACAACAGCAGAGACTGGCATTTCCCTTGGGTGACAACTTGCTAGCATTGTTTTGTGTAAGTCTAGCAGATTTGACCCAAGATCAGAGGAACGCACTCACACGTATCATGACACATCGTGGACGAACACTCGATCAGTACAATGTGCAAGAACTCAGAGATTTATTCCTGGAAATGTTTTGCGCTACAAAGACGATGCAACCCTCTGGCATTGGACAGAGAAGATCTTTCCTCGTTCTGGATGAAGAAGAATTAGAAGGAACCGACGGCTATTGCGCCGAAGATGATGAAGACGGCGCAGAAGGATTCCTGGATGCTTTAGAATATTTTTTCTGGTTTTATGATGACGCTGAATACACATGGTATCAGAGAAGGTTCCAAGGAAGACAGACCAGACGAGGCAAAGGTAAAGGAAAGAGAAAAGGAAAAGGAAAAGGCAGAGGAGGACGAAGGTTCTTCAGATCAAGGAAAGGAAAAGGCCGAGGAAAAGGAAGAAGAAAAGGCCGCTCTCACATGGTGAGTGAAGAAGGTTATGCAGAAGGTTGGCAAGAAGGAGAAGAATGGAATGAATCCTATGAAGGCTATTGGGCCGATGATCAAAACTGGAATGAAGGCTATTGGGCCTATGATGATCTGTACTACATGGATGAGTATGGATACTTCCAGAAGAAAGGAAAAGGAAAAGGAAAAGGAAAGAAAGGCAAGAAAGGCAAGGATGATGATGGCAAAGGAGGAAAACCAGGAGATGGCAAAGGTAAGTCCAACTATGTGCAACCTCAGACCACATCAACTCCTGCCATACAGAACCAACAGCAGCAACAAGCTCATTATTCTTCTTGCAGCATCAAGCTCTGGTCATGGATTCTTTGCAATGGCAGAGACTGAACCAGCACGTGTAGATGTTTTGACATCTACGTATGCAGAGCAAGAAGAACATCGACGCACTCGTCGAGGAGGACAAAGCCAACGTGATGCAGTAGCACAGTTCAACAGGAGAGCAGCCAAGAGGTTCCCTGTACTAGCTGGAGATCTTGATGCACTTCGACAAGGAGTACAACGTCGTCCAGCACCTGTGCCCAGGCAAGTTGGTTTACAAGAAGGTGAGGCTTCATGGAAGCCGTTGGCAAAAGGCACGGCATTGTTTTCATATGGACACCCTGTAGAGACAGAGATACCATCTAATCCTGAAGGCTCTGTAGAGACAGAGGAATGAGGTGAGCAGCAGAGTGCTTTTTCATTTCATATCAGGCAACCTGATCTGGCATGTGAGAATGGGTTAGCTTTTCACACAGAGAATTCTGCACCACCAACTGTATGTATCCTGGATCTTGGATGCACAAGAGCTACGGGCTCTCGACGAGCAGTTGAAGCATTTTGCAGATATGTCGATTCACATCCCAACAGTGGTCTCTGGTATGAAATTCAGCCAGCAAGTTCAAGACTCTTCTTTGCAAATTCACAACAATCCAAGTGTACTGAGAAGCGTGTGATATTCATGTACGACAATGGATGGAACACTCAGTTCACAGAATTCGACATTGTCGAAGAAGGTGATGTCCCATTGTTGATGTCACTTCCAC